CCGGCCCGGCATCCCGCCTGGTTTTATTTCCACCGGTGCCGTGCACAGAGATTGAATAAGAAAAGAGATTAAACAACAACAACAAAAAAAGGCATCATCGAGCCGTTTCGCCTCGGTACCAAATCCCCTATCCTGTTAAAGTGGAAACCATTACCGACAGATTTAAGGCCGGGCAGATTGTTTCGTGTATGGATATTCGAGATAAACGCGCTTCCGCTGGGAAAACTAAACGTCTGTAAAATACTTCATTTAATTTTCATAGGGATTCCTCTCGCCCGGCTGCCAGGACTCCAAATGCCGGGCAGTAATTTGGAGGTGAGAACTCCACATTCCCCCCACCCCACCCCCCTCTTCCTCGCCATTGGAAGTGGGGGAGGTGGGGGAAGCATTTAACATTAAATTCCATTAGCACCTAAATTGTTTCTTAAAGACATCCGCTCAGACACAATGACTTCAGCGCGGGCATCCCAGGCAAATACATTTCTCAAATTTTAAACCTTGTTAAAGCTCGTCTCGCACCTCGCGTCGGGCTTAGCACTTGAGAAAACAATAGGCCTCGAGATTTTTAGCCTTTCTCCGGGTAAATATTTAGAGTGGAAGTCGCTAAAATATTTGGCCGTCTTTTAGGGAATAGTCTGGCACGGTTCGAGCAGGCAGGAGTAGTAAATGAATAATAGATGAGGCGGGAGGATGCGTTTATTTTTGTTACCCTTCGACTCAGGCGATTTTCCATCGAGAAAGCCCCCGGCTCCTTCTCCCCTCTTCCACCTGATTGGGGTGGAAGTTTCCGAGCCTCAAATCCTCTGTTCTCTATTACATAATTTAATAAACTGTTGCAAAAGCGCCTTCAATCACCTCGAGTGAGACTTTAGACACGCTTCTCTTTTTTTTTTTTTCTTTTTTGGAAATGAGAAAATTTTATTGCCTTGCTCACACCATTTAAATTTAATGGAAAGCATTCCCAGGAAGGGACGTTTCGCCCCTTCCAACGGGATTTTTTTGGACTAATGACAGATTTTGCGAGAATTTATAGAGTTTCTCTCTCTCGGTATCCATATGTGAAAGCAAGCGCTGAAGTTATATGCGAATACGTCGCGCGTTGCAAATGTATCAGGCGTTTCGTGTGTACTTAGACATAGATATAGGGAGAGAGAGGTCTTCCCGTCTTTTAGCAGGACGGCAGAATTTAGTTCGCGCTGTATTTTGCGTTTCTGCGGGAAGAGCCCGCCGAGCCTCGGCACGAATCTACACCGCTCACCCCACAGATTAAAAAGAAAATATCCTTTCGAAA